GGGGCAAAATTTGTTATGGTTTATAATGGCAAATGATACTTTGAATATTACATGTTGATAACTTGATTGGAATTATAACCCTAAGTTGACAGTTTGATACTTTGTAAATTTTGAGCCATCCCTACCCCCAAGGGCTGTAGGGTTGGGCCCACTGGAGTCTGTGTGCTAAAATAAAATTTCGTCATTTTCCTTGTTTAGAATCAGAGGTGCTAGTTTCAAATACTTTTCAGTCTTAAATCTGCATGCTAGATATTGAATAAGGTCGTTTTATTGTTTTTTGTCACTTTGAATAATGTTTCTGTTCATGTTAAAAACAAAAATCAACTCTGTGTAAATATATCAGGTGACCGTTATGGCCCATGGGCCTCTTGTATTTAATATAATATTAACAATGCACAGATAGACAGACTTTTATATAGACTACAAACAAATGTGGGCCATATAATTCAGCACCGGAATCTGTAAGGTTGTTTCAGTCTTACAATCAAAGTAATTATGTAGCCTGCAATAAGATTCTTCGCTATAAGATTTCAGTTGTAATGTCACCATCAATATTTGTGATATGAAGGTTGTCACAAGAGGTATTCCACAAGATTTTAGTTTCAGTGATACTATCAAGATTTGTAACATGTAGGATGCCACAAGAGGTATTCCTCAAAATTTTAGTTTCAGTGATACTATCAAGGTTTGTAATATGTAGTACAGTCGAACCTCGTTATCTCGAAGTCGACGGGGTCGTGGGAAAACTTCGAGTTATCCGAGTATTCGAGTTATGCGGGTTCATAGATTCGGTACGAAATTTGCTGTTGGGACATAGCACTAGCAGTTGTTGGTTTTATTTAAGGAATGATTTTTATTTTTTCAACATTTATGAGGTCATAACAACAATGGGTTTATGGACATATTGAATGAATCGCGTAGCGATTCATGTAAAATATGTCCAAAAACCCATTGTTGTTACGACCTCATAAATGTTGAAAAAATAAATATCATACCTTATATTTACATTGACGAATCCTTTCAGTGGATCGATATAACAACGAATAAAACAAATAACCAGGGTTTGTTCCTGCTTATACACGGGTGCAACGCAGTGGCGAGAACAGTGTTTTTTCGCGGGGAAATGTGACACTATCGTGAGAGATCTTAGCAACCGTCAACAACAATAACACAACAAAATGTAGTTCCATATTCAATGTTTATTTGTAGCACAGGACACGTGAATACGTGGATATTTCACAAAGCACAGTTCAATAATATTTTAAGATGTAAGAATTAAGCATCTAGGTCGGTCATTCCGAGTGAGTAGTTTTTGTAGTGTATTACTACGCAGTGTGATCAGGTTACTATCAGTTCCCACGTGCTGAGATTCTATGAACACCTGTGTTATGCATTTATGAATGTAATTTTTGTCAATGGGTCTAAGCATACAGAATGTAAATATTAATAGTTAATGCTTTTAATCAATCGATAAATGATATACGTAATCAATATAACAAATACAGCTATGTAATTTTACAATAAACACGCTCTCAAAAATAAAGTAAGTTATTTCAGAAAAACGTACTTTCGTTTTTAAACGCGATCAAAACGGTTGGACCATTTTGTGAATTCGTTATTAAATATGGACGGGCCTAGTGATTAAATGTTGTTTTTGGCTAGTATAGATCTTGGCAAATCTTTCCAGGTCTGCATTTGTATTTGTAAGTCCGTCAAGTTTTACTTCTGAAGTGTTACATTTCAAACCGAACTATCCCACTGTCTCTGATCTCGTAGTTTACAATGCGGAAATGAAAGTGCGCAAGTCTAAAACAAATCACTGTAATGGAGCGTACGCATAGTTGATTCTGTAACTGAAAACACACAAACAAATTATATCGTACATATGACACATTGATTCATTAAAGCCAAATATGACACCTGACACCTCCTCAACTTGATGTAATCAACAGCAATTATCGTTTTGTTCTTAAATCTCTCGATCGTCTTTCAAAGCCATACTGGCTCCTGTAAAAACATGAACCCGTAAAGCTGTCCTAGGTTGTGATTTTAACTGTGGAACTCTTTTATGCATGACCACGCTTTGTGACCAATTTTCCGGTTTGCACTGTCGTCTGTTGAGGTGTACAAATCATTAAACGGACTCGCAGTAAGTACAGATTACTGTTGATCAACATTGATGCAGTTTGTTTTTTATTATGAATAACATGGTTACATAACAACATAACAAAGTCCGTAAACTTTACAGTCCTAAGCTTTATTGTAAATTCTTTTTTAATGATTTCATGCTAGTCTACTTACGAAAGATGTTCATAAACACGGAATGGCGAAATGTCTTACTTTTGTGTTTTATTTGTATCAAAGAATTAACAAGTGACAAAATAAAATTTGGATACTTTGTTGGATTAACGCTATTGAAACCAATATTTTACTTCGAGGGATCCGAGTTTTTCGACTTTTCAGGGTTCGAATTATCAGAGTTTTATTTACTAAGATAAAGAACAGATTTGGCCGGGACCGGAGAAATACTTCGAGATAAACGGGGTCTTCGAGTTAAAAGAGTTCGAGATAACGAGGTTCGACTGTATGTCACAAGAGGTATTCCTCAAGATATGAGTATAAGACTGATGGTTTCTTGATGTGATAACAAAGTCAAGAAATAGTTAGGCCATCCTTAAAATATTCCTTGTTTGGCATTGACCGACCCACCCTACCAGTGCATGGGTCGGTAGGTAGGAAAATTATTTCATTTTATTTGAACAAATATGAAACAATCATTTTTTAAATTCAATAAATTTTGTTTAATTCACTTTGTGAATCAATGTCAACAGCCACTACAACAAGAACCATAAGTAACTTGGAATGACTAATATGACATCATAAAGATACCAATGTACTACTCCTATAACATAAGGGGCCGCTGGTCGGCCTTTCTTCTATCGGATATGATTTTGCTGTCTATAACCCTCATTTCCGAAGCACTATAATTCTTTGATGCAGATCCACCCGAAATCCGGGCGGAACAAAATCGGTTTGAAAAACTCACTTAATTGGTTAACAGTTCATCATGACAACGATGTCTACTCACAGTTCATATAATATAGATCTCATATGTATACCACAGACACAAATATATAGTATATTACAGAATATAACACTCAAAATACATGTCCATGTCGTTGTAGCACTTAGAACTACAACATGGCTTCCTGAGTTGATACAAAATAGCAGGGAGAATTTCAAACGGAACAAAAAACAATTGAGTTTGTTTGTATTTCGCTTGTAGAACATCACATGTAACCATTTTTGTATTAACCGTAAAATCATGGCAAATATTGTCTGCTTTACTTCGAAATTATTTGTGTATTTGACTCGAAATTCTTCTAATTATGGATTTATAGAAAGGAATATTTATTGGACCCTGTTGAACATTTAAATGTATGTAAACACACTATTCTTTTTAAAAATCCGAACTTTGAAAATTTGATTGTCAGCATCGGGGAAAATCAGCTATGGGCAGTTAGAGTTTAAATTATCATGTCAAAAAATCTCGCTGTGTAAAACCTCTTAACAATGATGGAGTATGTCGGTCAGTAGCTGTGATAACGTAGCTTTCTGACGACGAGAGATTTTTTTTATATATTTCGTCGTCAGATACCCGGCCGGGGCAGAGGAGGACGGGTAATAACCCTTAGGCTGCTACATTGATTTCTATGTAAAGGGACACCACTGCTAAATTAATTATTGAAAGATAAATTAATTTACTTCATTCTTCAAATGTGCATACCTTGAAAAATATTTGTTATATGTGAATTCAAGTTTATAAGAAAATTGTTCGTTATTGTCTCTAGTTTAATTTAACGTTTTCAATTCTAAAGTTGCTTCAGTATTTACCTTTACAGGTGGTAATAAAGGTAAGAAAATGTGAAACTTTTTATCAATCGGATTTAAGCACCAGAAAGATCATTTTAAAATTATTTTTATCAGCAAATGTGATTGGCAAATGCTAACAGAGATTATAAACTTCATTTATGACATAAGACGCTGTACATTTACACGGAGATTCTCAGGTAAAAAGGTCAGGTATTTCATCAAGAAATTGCGATTTGCTACAGGTTTCAGGTCGTCATTCAATATATTTACTGTCACAGTCGGCATATAGATATATCTTAGCTACGATCTAGTTTATGATTAAATCATCGATAAATAGTTTGAAGAAATCAATCGGCTCAAAACAAATACATGTCAATGTTCAATTCAGCCTCACCTGCAGACGCCATGTGCGCCTTGGTCCGCCGATATTTTCATGATTGCGTAGGGCACAAAGACGTTCATTACAAAGTTATATAATAGGTAACGTCGAAGTATTTCCACATCAACCATGTCAAACCCTTTAAAATCTTTATTATCATGGTAGGTGACGCTGGAGAATAAATGTTTACCATCATATTCATCACTTCAATCTACACATCCACCATTTTTATGACAGAGGTTAATATTAGTACAAGTCAGTCAGGTGTTTGTTAGCAGTACCATCCCGCAATAAGCGTTTTTATGAAATTAGAAGTAGGTAAAACTAAAAAGGAACCAAAATCCGGAAGGTTTCGGATTCAGGAAAAAGCGATCGTAAATAAAATAAAAAAATTCTGTGTTGTTCTCAGTTTGTTTCATAACCATACCTGACAAGTGACCCGATTTCGTCAAGTTACTCCGGGAATTTTAGCCATTCACCCGCTTCTATAACTTCACCTGCCGGGTTACGATTTTGACCCGGATTTCGTCCATTTCACCCATTTACGCCCGGAATCTTTTCGTATATTAGAAGTTACCGAAGTCACTTGGAATTCTCTAGACTTTTCCACCCTTTGTCATAAGCAAGACGATCTATTTCCGGTTTCCGTTTCTCACTGATAGATAAGTTGTGAGTTGTTTATATACATACTAGAACTGTTTTTACAAATGTTTATATAAAGACCGTTGTTATTGAACTTTACCGACAAGTAATTTGTGAGGTGTATTAACGAATAATTGAGTTATTTTTACAATTGTATTGACGTAGTATAGATTGTATTTTGAAGGTAACGTTATGTCTTCTTGAAGGAAGAAGTTGTTATCGGCACTTGCAGGTTCTACTACACGAAACGCTTAAATAAAAGATAATTTAGCACATATCAAATGTGGTTTAATGAGTTATAGTGGATAAAGTCTGGCGGTCGTGGACCAAACGCTCCATTCTTCACTTTTTGTTAATCGCATATTTCAGTTGGATCTGGTGCTAAAAACGATGTTACAAAGACATTCAAAAACTTGCACAGGCATTTGATGATTTGTTTCTGTCAATCAAAATAATCCTGACAATAAGAATTCAAACCCTACTCATATAAAACAGATATTTTATATGAGTAGGGTGTGATTCCTTATTGTCAGGATTATATGAGAGGAATGTGACTTCTTATTGTCAGGACCATTCTAATTGACATAATAGATAAATTGCCACCTGTACAGGTAAATACTGAAGCAACTTTAGAATTGAAAACGTTAAATTAAACTAGAGACAATAACGAACAATTTTCTTATAAACTTGAATTCACATATAACAAATATTTTTCAAGGTATGCACATTTGAAGAATGAAGTAAATTAATTTATCTTTCAATAATTAATTTAGCAGTGGTGTCCCTTTACATAGAAATCAATGTAGCAGCCTAAGGGTTATTACCCGTCCTCCTCTGCCCCGGCCGGGTATCTGACGACGCAATATATAAAAAAAATCTCTCGTCGTCAGAAAGCTACGTTATCGCAGCTACTGACCGACATACTCCATCATTGTTAAGAGGTTTTACACAGCGAGATTTTTTGACATGATAATTTTAACAGGCGCCGTGTAAACTCTAACTGCCCATAGTCCGGCATCCGGCGTCAATATTTAACTTCAAACGACTTCTTCTTAATAACCAAAGGGCCTAGGGTGATGATATTTGGCGAGAAGCAAACTGGGATGAAGGGCTACCAAGTTTGTTCAAATAAATGACCTTCATTTATTTTCAAGGTCACAGGGGTCAAATATGTTAAAAACTTTAAACAACTTCTTCTCAATAACCAAACTGCCCAGGGAGATGATATTTGGTCAGTAGCATGCTAGGGTGAAGGGCTAC